CTTGCATTCCACTAAAACTAAGTGTTTGATGACGTCAATAATTGCAAAATATGCTTTCACATGATTATTGACGTCATCGAACACTTAGTTTTGGTGGAATTGCAAGAACCACAGACATCTGATTGAAAATTAGAATGATATAAATTGATGCTATCAATCTCCCCAAATACACATAAAATTGTTACAAAACCTTTTCGTTTGAAAATACAAGAATATAAAAAGCTTACCTATTTCGGAATAGACTTTACGTAAATCGTGCATGACACAATCGAGATAGAGTTCTCCTGTACCTAATACTATATGTTCACCTGATTCTTCTACCTGATGGTACAGAAAACATATTATGATAGCTTGTCAGGCAAGGTAATATATGCCCATTGGCAGCTTTGATTTTATATAAAAATATTTAGCAGTACAGTAACAATTACCAGTATGAAATATTCAACCTTCAGTCATACACTTCTTTTGAACTTTTTGATGGTACAGAAACAGTAAAATTAGTAAATTGGAGAAGACCTTGTGTCCAGGGCTATTGATGTGGCTCTGTTTTACGGACATAACCAGATTAGCATAAGCCTTGGCTTGTTTCAGAAACTCTATTTATACTCTGTCAAAATTATATGTATAATAGAAATAAAAAAATGATCGACAGGGCAACTCAATTGTCTGTCGGTCTGTAATACTTTGGGTTTTGCAATCTCAAAATACATTCTGTTATCAAGATACAGGTTCCACATAACATTCGTTGAACGAGACTGCAGTAGAAAGCTTGTTAGACTACAATGGTGTCGAAAATACCCGAAATAAAGAAACAAAATTCTATCTTATTTGAATTAGACTTTGCAAAAAGTAACCCACAAAAAATAATCATATATCGAGCTGTTTTTTAATTCAAATTTCAGCAAAATTGAAAATCTAATAAATGATTTTCTACAAACCTTGGTAGTCAGGAGAGGGTAACTCTTGTTGACTTTACGTAAACCATCTAACATTTTAGGTAATTCTGACGGATTAACTGGTTCGACAGCAATCTTGATGACAGAACTGGTGTTAAACTTCAATGGACGGAAAATGTACACCTGCAAGATTCAGAAAAACATTTAACTAATAAACAATTACATAATAGGTGATTTAGCTCTCCTAAAGGCTCAACAAATAGAATTATTGAACTCAGTTGATAAATACAGTTACAGCATGAACAATTATATAACAGGTGATTTAGCTCTCCTAAAGGCTCAACAAATAAAATTATTCAATTCATTTAAATCGTAGTTCACAAATTAATGTTACTATTTTCTCCTAAAGGCTCCATCGATAAAATAACTAAACTTAAATGTAAGTTATATATAGGTATTAATGTTACTCCTCTCTCCTAAAGGCTCAACTAATAATTGTATTGAACTCATTTGATAACTATTTATTCTATAATTGTTCATGGTGTAACTGTTAGTTAGCTATCTGCATTAATTTAACTCTCTCCTAAAGGCTCAACTAATAAATGTATTGAACTCATTTGATAACTATTTATTCTATAATTGTCTATTGTGTAACTGTTAGTTAGCTATCTGTATTAATTTAACTCTCTCCTAAAGGCTCAACTAATAAATGTATTGAACTCATTTGATAACTATTTATTCTATAATTGTTCATGGTGTAACTGTTAGTAAGCTATCTGCATTAATTTAACTCTCTCCTAAAGGCTCAACTAATAAATGTATTGAACTCATTTGATAACTATTTATTCTATAATTGTTCATGGTGTAACTGTTAGTTAGCTATCTGCAGTATTTAACTCTCTCCTAAAGGCTCAACTAATAAAATAAATAATAAATACCTCATCATTAGTAGAGACATCAGTAATGGTGGAAGTTTTTACAATCGGTTGATCGATTCCTTCGATTAATATCCAGTTTCCAGCTGATACACGATTCACTTCGATTTTATATCTACAATTTTCAACGTTTAAAATTAACACATTCTCTCCCATCTTTAAATCTACAATATTCGACATTAAGGAGACATTTCGCCTTTTTTGTAGGTCGAAAACAATTTTCGCTCAAATTTATGAAAATTATACACCAAAATCTAGACCAAGATAAGAGCCGCTCCACAATCATTTGTTGATGTAACGAGCAAATGACGTCATGTAAAGATTTCAACACTCTAACGGACTGTGCTACAGCCAGTTCTAAAAAAGCAAATGAATACATTTAAAAAAAACGCTAAGAACCCATGACCATTTCTTTGGCGTAATCAAGCAAATGATGTCATGTAAAAATTCCAACGCTCTAACCTACAGTGCTACAGCCCAACCTAAAAAAGACTTTCACACACTGACTGAGATATAAAACCAACAACCACCATTAATTTGTTCAATGTAACAAAGCAAATGATGTCATGTAAAGGTCTCAACACTCTAACCAACTGTGCTACACCCAGTCCTCAAAACAAATGCTTCAAGCTATATCTAAAAAAAAACGACCAAGATAAGAGCCGCTCCACCACCATTTGTTTGACGTAACGAGCAAATGACATCATGTAAATATTCCAACACTCTGATCAACTGAACTACACCTAGTCCTAAAAAAAATGACCATAGCAACCAAAAAATCTACCTGGCTTCAGCGATCCATAATCGACCAACTTGTCCAAATCGTGAATCTTCTTCATCTTGTAGTGTGTAGTTTTCTCCCAAAATTCTAACCTCTTGATTGGCGTGTAGCGTTCCACTCATAACACGTCCAAACACATGAAAACACGTAGCATCGTTTGTGGGGTAGAGTTTCGTGGTGTGGATCATTAGCGGGCCCTGAAATTAACGGTCAAATGAAATGAAAGAAAGGTCATTGGACTTTCACTCGCTGATCAAGAACGGAACCCACAGCCACCATTTGCTCGATGTAACCAAGCAAATGACGTAAGCATCTAATTTACTGAGCAAAACCAAAAGAAACAGTTATATTGCTCTACTTTGGGTTTCGCTATCCCACAATTCCTTATAATATCAACGAACAGATCTACATGACAAGCTTTGATTGGTTAAAAATAATATCATTAGAACAAGCCTTGGATATACTCATAACACGCCCAAACACTTAGCATCATTTGTGGGGTAGAGTTTTGTTGTGTATATCATTAGAGGGCCCTGAAATTTACGGTAAAATGAAATGAAATTGAGTTTGAAATGGGTGCAAACAGTCCAGAATTCGAATCTCTGAGAAGACCTGAAAGTTTTTTTTAAAGAAAATAAAAAGTTCAAAACTTGCCTCCGGATCACAGTTAAACATCTCCTCGGCTAATTCAGAATCAGACGGACCAGTATAAAGATGTTCTATCTTGGATTTACCATTATCTTGTGGGGAGGGGACGTGTTCTATACACATATCAACAAAACCTGCGATAAATCAATACCATAATTACATTATTATATAGAATTGAAGGCACTGGCAGGGGCATCAGAATGTTCCATAGACACCCCAAAAGATAGCAACAAAACCTGGGCAAATTGAAAAGCATAATTGGTACACAATTATAGGTGGCGCTTGATTAGTGACGTCTGCTCGTTTGGGAATCAGGGAATTAAATGGAAAATGGTTCCTTTGTGTTTAGTAACGTCATCAAACACTTAGTTTTAGTGGAATTGCAGGAACCACAGACATCTGATTGAAAATTAGAATGGTGTAAATTGATGATATCAGTGTCCATGATACACATAAAAAATTAAGAAAACCTCTTTACAATCTCTTTAACAAGAACCACAGACATCTGATTGAAAATTAGAATGGTGTAAATTGATGCTATCAGTGTCCCTGATACACATAAAAAATTTAGAAAACCTTTTTACAATCTCTTTAACAAGAACCACAGACATCTGATTGAAAATTAGAATGATGTAAATTGATGCTATCAGTGTCTCTGATACACATAAAATGCAAGAAAACCTTTTGTAATGTTACGTACCAGTAAAAGAGCCGAAGAAACGACTACAAACTAATCGTAGTAATGGTTTAATATTTAACTTCTGTTCTTCTTTACCAAGATGGATTCCTAACTCATCACAAACTTGAGGTATACATGTATCAACATCTCCTACAATCTATAAATAGAAACAAGGGAAATAAGGCTAGATAGATATCGACACCTCTCATTTTCTAGCTAAGCCAATCAGTAATAGTGTTCACAGCTCACTGTCAAAATTTGAGCCTTCAAATCCATGTGTGTCCAGAATTATCCACGTTTGAATGTTAAAATGACGACTTGTCTTTTCTTGAGACACTGCCTTATATAGAAAAGACATCTATAGAAATAGTGAGTAAAATTCCTAGTATGAGATATTTTTAAAGGAATTATGTGATTTTTGTACATTTCTAGTATTTCTGAAGACTATTTACATATATTCAACACTCAAATCAACCAAGCCAAGGACCATGTATAGTGTATTGATGTATTTTTGAAGGAATTATGTAATTTTTGGTACATTTCTAGTACTTCTGAAGACTATTTACATATATTCAAGACTCAAATCAACCCTCCAAAATGGCAACGAAAGTGAAATTCCTAGTTTGAGATATATTTAAAGGAATTATGTGATTTTCGTACATTTCTAGTAGTCAAATTAAACTAAAAAATGGTGCGCCTGTCCCTTTAAGTATAAAAATCAAAAACGTACTTGTGCGAAGATCTTATATAATGGTTCCAAAATAAACTCGACGAAACTCCGCTGGGCTGTATTACTAGGCGCCTTCTTCGTGAATTTCCTCCTGTAAAAGTATTGAATTATTATTTTTCTATTTCCAGGAACTTTGATTCTAACTCGGCAGCACGAAATGAAGAATTTGATTGGAAGGAAGCACTGGCCAGAGTTTGGTAAGTTTTTTTTTTTTAATATTTCATTATAAACTATTTTATTATATTTCCATTTCTATTATCACTCTCTTCAATGAACCAGTTACACAAACTGGTGTTTATTTTTCTATAAACTGTAGTTTATCACGTGATACTATGACATCATCAAAACACAACAATGACGTAATCTAAGATTTGTGGTAAATTCAAATAACTGATCATATAAAACAGTGAAAATTGTATTAATAAAAGTATCTGAATATAAATATAAGAATTAAATGTTGGTCTGACTAGCATTATTGGTGTGTAAACGCTATTGACTTCGTCATTTATTCAGTTTGTCACGTGATCAATTGCGTTTACACACCCATAATGCTAGTAAGACCAACTAGTTGATATAAAATTTCACCATGTTTCAGGATTTACTTACGTTTTACTGTTAAAATACATATCGCCCCATAATCTTCTAGCAAACTCTTTTTCGTTTATACCACCTACAAAAATACAAATAAATATCTATTCCTAATGGACTTCTAGTTAACGTTGGCTTTACGCATAAAAATTTATTGTTTTCAAACAGCTTGATTCCATCTGTTCCAATTCTGACCTCAATCGAATACTTCGAAAACAGAATATCGTGGGTGATCACTAGTATGTGCCATATTTGGTCGTTTTGACTTTTTAGTACCGTTCGAAAGCTCATAAAAGCGCGGATCTTGTGATAAAAACAGAATATCGTGGGTGATCACTTGTATGTGCCATATTTGGTCGTTTTGACTTTTTAGTACCGTTCGAAAGCTCATAAAAGCGCGGATCTTGTGATAAAAACCTCATATTCTTAGCTTGATTATAAATAACCCCAAAACACTAATTAAATAACACGTATAAAAACAGTCAGTTTAAAACCTCATATCATGTGTGATTGCTTGAAACCTCGTATATACCATATTTGGTCATTTTGACATTTTGACTTTTTGCTACCCTAGTAAAAGCGCGGATCTTGTAAACAAAACCTCGTATTCTTAGCTGGATTATAAATAACTCAAAAACACTAATTAAATAACACGTATATAAACAGTCAGATTTAAAACCTCGTAAAATATATTATTATACGAGGTTCAATGTTCCTTTTCTGCAGATGAAAATGAAAAACCTTGTATACTGTATTATTATACGAGTTTTTGATTCAATAGGCCGGAGATTTCAAATTGTTATACAAGGTTTATATTTTCAAATAATGAAAACCATGTATAACGGTAAAAAAAAAAAAAAAAAAAAAATTTTAACAAAATAGTTTTTTGCGTCATATATCGTTCCAAGCGGTCACCTACGATATGTCACATTCAAAATTTTCTCTTTTATTTCCTTCTCCGCCATTTTCAATTCTGTCTACATCTTAATTTTCTCGCTCGTGGAACTCTGAACTCTAATCCAACTTGTTTTATTGAACGTCAAGTCGATTCTATAAATCCTGAACGCGTAAAACTCACCAAAAAAGCCGCCCCAATGTGTCAACACAATTTACATATCAAATCGTGCACAAATATAAAGTTTGCTTACCGTAAGTGTCTGAATAAATCTGAGCGAATGATTTCAGAGTGAAACAGAATCTGTAATATGAGCTGGCAAAACAAACGTTGCCTACGATAGGAGATATCAAACTAGCGTCTTCATCTTCTGTATATAAACTAGAATAAAAACAACATGAATGGAGTTTTACATCCTACTTTTCTGCACCATGTGGGTTAATGGAGACAGACAACGCCATGCAGTGTTCAATAAGGAAAGTGTCAGGTATGCAGTAGATATAGATGTATATGGTGTTTGAAATGAATGGAGTTTTACATCCTACTTTTCTATACATAATTCGGGATCTTTAAGATGCAGACAGTGGAATACAGGGCCTCGGTTTATTGTCCCATCTGAACGACTAGACGCTTTTTCCATATCCAACTGTCGAGGGATCTTTAACATGCACAGCCTTTAGTACACGGGGCCTCGGTTTATTGTCCCATCTGAACGACTACACGCAGCAATAGTGTGCAATGAGGGAAATTTTATCAGGACAGTGGAGGTAGGACATGAGGAGATATTGTCGAGGGACTTGACTAGAAAAAAAAAATGTGATTTTTTTCCGTACACTTTAATTGAGCAGACGGTCAAGGGAAATTTTATTGAGAGATCTTTAAATGTAGACTACAGCTAAAAAAAAACGCACATACGGAATCATATTTGACGCATGACAGATTCACAAGGGCCATTTATGTCCGCATGACACGTATATGGAATCTTAAAGCTCAGAAAACTGGTTCAACCTACCTCACGATGCTGTTGATATCGTCTAGAATATGACGTAGTTTATAATACGCGTCTGTCGGTGGTAATTTTAACTCTAGTATTAACCTATCAATCTTGTTAATACAAATAGTCACTGCCACCTTCTCTTGTAGAGCGTGTTTTATTAATCTTTCTGTATTCAACATCACCTACAATATCAAAAACTATTTAATTGTATACAAACATTGTTCGCCATCTGTTTGACCAATCATACCTTAGTCTCAGAAACAGGAATTGTTTAGCTAAGCTAATCAGTAATAGTGTTCACAGCTCACTGTCGAAATTTGAGTCTTCAAATCCATGTGTGTCTAGAATTATCTACGTTTTGACTAGTCTTTTTTTTTCAGAAAAATAGGAAAAGAAATTCCTAGTTTGAGATATTTTTGAAGGAATTATGTGTATCAGAGACACTGATAGCATCAATTTGCAACATTCCAATTTTCAATCAGATGTCTGTGGTTCCTGCAATTCCACTAAAACTAAGTGTTTTATGACGTCATTATCGCAAAGGTCCTTAGATATTATTAACAGCTTTTGCGATAGTGACGTCGTAAAACACTTTACAATTCCTTTAACTCAGAAACATAACTTAAAAATAATTTTACAAAAAACTGACCCCTTCCGCAGCATCCACAAATACAACAGCTCCATCACTAATTCTTAAAGCTGCTGTCACTTCATCAGAAAAATTCACATGACCTGAAATTATAATATAAGTTAGTAAGGTCTTAGTTAAATATGGCAGACAAGTCTAGCTTTAATATCGCTCAAGGAGATGAAAGGATTCATTGATGAATTGAAGTGAGTTATACCATAATATACCCCTTGTGTTTTTTTGTTATATCTACTCTCCACTTCTAAATGTCGTTCAAATCTTGTAAATCGTATCGTTGGATGAGTATCGAATCACACTTCAAGAATCGTTGCAGCTCTACTAACGACCGTCTGGATAACACGGCGTTCTCAACGTGTTCCAGAACGGATTGCCGAACCTTGGTACTTGTTTTAAACATGTCTGAACGCTGTGATCAGACGAATAGTGACGGCAATTGTACGATATCTGACTTGTTGCCACACTCTGAGCCAATTTTCCGTCGCTATAGCAACACAGTAAGACCACCTTTCCGTTGTGAAGGGCCATTACAATGAGATAGTAAGAAAATCACCGAACACGAACCTGGTGTATCAATGACGTTCATTAAGAAAGATTTATTTTTAGTATCTTGCATGACAACTGTTACTGGCGTAGATTTAATACTCACTCCCCGCTGAAATATACAAAATATACAAGTTAGAATGTTTCAACATCACATCAAAATAAACTACAGCCACCTAAAATTTATAGGTTTACATTTTATTCTTCTAGTTTCCAGGATGAAATTTCGAAAATTCAGAAATAACATTTCTCTATTTTCAATTTCAGTTTATCAAGCTATCAATCAAAATTAACCTTTTGACCTAACCTGATAAACACGGCGTCACAAACTGCCAGCGTTGAAGGAGGTAAAAATTTGATTGCCGACGTCATCGAGTTAGGTCAAGAGGGCTGTCGTTAGACCCTAACTGAATATAAAAATAAAAGCTAATAAAAAACGGAACTAAAGTTTGTATCATTGTTGTAAATTCGATTGGTTAAAGCAGACGTCATCAAGATAGGTCAAAAGGTTAATTTGACAGACTTTCAAGAGGGCTGTCATTAGACCCTAACTGAAGTGGCTACATTAAAAATAAAAGCTAATAAGTATTTGGCTTACCTCTTGTTCTGTAAACAAAATATCGGTGTATCTCAACTAAAAGAAACAAAGAAAATCAATTTTAAATCTCAACTATTGCCCATCTGTAGTCATATGATTTGCTCACAGTTCTTCTTTAATCTCACTAACCTGAAGGTCCAGGGTTCAATCCTAGCATAGGTTGAGATAATACCTTCAGATTTTTCAACCCAGTTTCTCCCTGTCAGTGAGTTGGACGCTTGCTTGTTAACCTGAAGGTCCAGGGTTCAATCCTAGCATAGGTTGAGATAATACCTTCAGATTTTTCAACCCAGTTTCCCCTTGTCAGTGAGTTGGACGCTTGCTTGCTAACCTGAAGGTCCAGGGTTCAATCCTAGCATAGGTTGAGATAATACCTTCAGATTTTTCAACCCAGTTTCCCCCTGTCAGTGAGTTAGAGGCTTATTTGCTAACCTGAAGTCATTCGGTTGGCAAAATAAACCGAGGCCCCGTGTGCTACAGGCTGTACATGTTAAAGATCCCTTGACAGTTGGAAATGGAAAAAGTGCGGGCCACATAATCTGGAAATGATCTTAGCGCTAGAATGTCCTAGATTCTTGTCTTCTAACATTGATTCTAGGATATCTTAGCGCTGAGATCGTTGTGAGAATACAAGGCCTGGCTAATGCTACAGTCCTGGCAAAAATTTCAAAATTTCCCTCATTGTACACTGCATGGTGTTGCCACTATTCATTAGCCCACATGATGCAGAAAAGTAGGACGTAAAACTCCATTCATTTCATTTCTATAAACTCTGAAGCAATAAGTTTAATACTATTTTTAGATATATTTTGATTGAATATGGAACTAGAGTATGTTAATAGAACTTACATCTTTTTCTTCTTTCCCAGCGATATCAACGTGAGTCTGTTCAAATAAACAATCCACAAACGACGTCTGCAATAAAACAATTATTAAAATACGATGAAATCAGGGATCCCAGTGAGGAAGGAAAAAAAGAGAGGAAATGGAAAATATCAGGTGAAGGTAAAGAGGGCCACAGACTCTCGTATGAAGTATAGGGGGAGATTTTACTATTTTAACATGCTTTGGAAGTCATTTCCCATACAGAAATCTTTTCATTCCTAAAACTTAATTTTATTTGAAAATAAAAAAAATACCAACGGCCAGAAAAATAGAGGATTTCCTCTAAAGTCTGGGATCGCTGTGAAATAGAAAAATGCAACTAAAGAGAGTTGGAAGACAAATTAGACCAAACTTTTCTTAATATAGTCATTGCAGTCAGGGTCTTAAGACGGCCCTTTTGAACATTCATCAGTTTGATGACACTGCCAGCCAATCAAATTCATGCTCTTTCCAATGCAAACAAAGGATGCATTCCGTATCAAATGCCTCTCGGAATACACCGTGAAATTTTTGGAACATTTCAAGCCCTGGTTCCAAGAGACCAAAAGTTTTGGACAAGAATCTTAGAGCATCGTATGTGGGAAGTCTGAAACACGAGTAAGTAGAGTTACCTACCTTTCCATGGTGAAGATGGCCACATAAAGTCACGTTTCTGATTAAACCTGGGGTATCCATCAAATCAGCTAAAAATCTACAAAAAAACATTATTTCATACTGTGAAAATTGTTATAGCATTTTTACTAAGTCAAGGGCAATAACTCACAAACAGTTCATCTGATTGTCACCAATTTCGAACTTGACCAAGATCTCATCAATATAAAATGAACAGACAAAAAAATATAAATTCACATGTAAAAGCGGAAAACTCTCACTAATAGCATATTTTCAGTATATCAAGGGCTGTAACTCTTTCAATATTTGTCGAATCAAACCCAATTTCAAACTTATCTGAGATCTCCTGAATGTAAAAGTCAAATTTGATAAAAATCGTATGAAAACTGTAGTCTTTATTGCGTCTACAAGCCACATATAACATAATTTCAGAGCATCAGGGGCTGTAACTCTGTCAATATTTGTCGAATCGAACCCAATTTAGAACTTATCCAAGATCTCTTGAAGGTACACACCTAATTTTATAAAAATTGTATAAAAACTGTAGCCTTTATCGCGTCCACAAGCCACATTTAAAATAATTTCAGTGCATCAAGGGCTGTAACTCTGTCAATATTTGTTGATTCGAACCCAATTTCGAACTTATCCAAGATCTCCTGAATGTACACACCTAATTTTTTACAAATCGTATATAAAAAAATGTAGCCTTTATTGCATCCACAAGCCATATTAAAAACACTTTCAGTGCATCAAGGGCTGTAACTCTGTCAATATTTGTTGAATTGTACCAAAATTCAAACTTGTGCAAGATATAGTGGAAATAAACCTACACACAAAATTTCATAAAAATCTGACAGATTGTGGACAGAGCCGTTGCCAAAATACAACCACAAAAAATTTGCCCTACAACCTGTTTACAAACCAAGTGTGAACAGAGTGGCAGACGGACTAGGGAGATATCAAAATACAACCACTTTACAAGACAGGTGTAAAAAACAAACTCACTCCATATTGTAAGTGGTAGTAGGTAGATCTTGTTCAGCCATCGAGAATTTCTTGATTTTAACAGGTGCTACGATTGGTTCCGTGAGAGGCTGGGTGTCTTCTTCTTGGACGATGGTCTAAAAAATACAAACATATAGAATTTCTTGTGACACCAAAAATTCCACGAAAACCTTGTTAGGGATTGTAAAAAGGTTTTCTAAAAATTGTATGTATATCAGAGACACTGTAAATTGATGCTATCAGTGTCCCTAAATACACAAGGATACTTTCTACCAGCTGATCCTTGGCCAAACCTTTTGCTATTGGTATTACAAGAATAACAACTTAGGTTCACAAGGATCCTTTCTACCAGCTGATCCTTGGTCAAACCTCTTGGTATTGATTTTACAAGGATAACAACTTAGGTTCACAAGGATCCTTTCTACCAGCTGGTGCTTGGTCAAACCTCTTGGTATTGATTTTACAAGGATAACAACTTAGGTTCACAAGGATCCTTTCTACCAGCTGGTCCTTGGTCAAACTTCTTGATATTGGTATCTCTATCCATGCCTTGAACCTTGAACGAAGTCAGCGCGCAAGCGTCGAAGTTGTCTGTCTAGCATGCCTTGTTCCACTTCCTGACAAAGATCAATTTACCCCCAAAAAACCAAAAAAGACACAAACATACCTCGACTTCAGGTCCGTAAATTTCCTCTGGGGTAGGATAATATTTTTTATCTTCATGTAAAACGACCTGCATCTCGTTTCCATCATCATCATCTTGTTCCATATCTTCATCTTCCTGAAAATATTATATACGGTACCAGTTACTTCTGCATTTATTTCAAAAGACAGATTGTCAGACAAGGTAATATACGCCCATTGGCAGCTTTGATTTTAAATAAAAATATTTGGCAGTTCAGTAACAATCACCAGAATGAAATATTCAACCTTCAGTCATACACTTCTTTTGAACTTTTGGGGGTGATACTGAACAATATTACCAAGTTTTGTCAAAATCAATTGAACATGTTTCCAAGAGCAAGGGCAATAACTCATACTAAATATTTTTATTTTTCTGATTTTCAATAGGGTTCATCCTTGGATGATTACAAATACTTACACAAAGTTTCGTCAAAATTGACTTGAATTGACTTCTAGAGTGTTTACAAGGAAAAAAGAAGAAGAACAAGGGCAATAACTCATAATAAATTTTTTTTTTGATTTTTATGATTTTCAATAGGGTTCATCCTTGGGTGATAACAAACACTCATGCCAAGTTTCATCAAAATCCGTCAAGAATTGTGCCTTCTAGAGTGTTTACAAGGAAATAATTGTACGCGTTTTCAAGAAAAAGGGCAATAACTCTTACTAAATATTTTTTTGATTTTCAACAGGGTTCACCGTTTGGTGATAACAAACACTCATGCCAAGTTTCATCGAAATCCGTCAAGAATTGTGCCTTCTAGAGTGTTTACGAGCAAGTGTGGACGGATAACAGGATCATGCCAAAATAAATGACAAAACTCCTACAGAAGCACTGGCCAAGGCCACAATGAAATATTTTAAATTGATCATTACCTCTCTTTCCAAGTCATCATTATCATCATCATCATCTATATTATCATTATCATCTCCTTCTTCATCACTGTCTAACTCAGGGCCGACATAATTACCAAACTCATCGTACAGGTCAGCGTCCATTGTTAGGTCTTAGTATCTACTATCAGCTAGAAAAAAGATGAGAAATCATAAAAGCACTGGTCATGGCATGGCTTTAAAATTATGAAGGCGTCCATTGCTACGCTTGTTATCTACTATCAGCTAGAAAAAAGATGAGAAATCATAAAAGCACTGGTCATGGCATGGCTTTAAAATTATGAAGGCGTCCATTGCTACGATCGTTATCTACTATCAGCTAGAAAAAAGATCAGAAATCATAAAAGCACTGGTCATGGCATGGCTTTAAAATTATGAAGGCGTCCATTGCTACGATCGTTATCTACTATCAGCTAGAAAAAAGATCAGAAATCATAAAAGCACTGGTCATGGCATGGCTTTAAAATTATGAAGGCGTCCATTGCTACGCTTGTTATCTACTATCAGCTAGAAAAAAGATGAGAAATCATAAAAGCACTGGTCATGGCATGGCTTTAAAATTATGAAGGCGTCCATTGCTACGCTTGTTATCTACTATCAGCTAGAAAAAAGATGAGAAATCATAAAAGCACTGGTCATGGCATGGCTTTAAAATTATGAAGGCGTCCATTGCTACGCTTGTTATCTACTATCAGCTAGAAAAAGATGAGAAAGACGAGAGTGATAGCACTGGCTATGGATCATGAAATGAAATGGAGGTTTACAATAGACTTTTCTACACCTGATTGGGCTAATGAAGAATGGCAACACCAGGCAGTTTACAATGAGGGAAATTTTGTCAGGACACCAGTATTAGCCTATTTTTTTTTTTATTTCCAACTGTCGAGGGATCTTTAACGTGTACAGACTGTAACACACAGGGCTTTGGTTTATTGTCCCATCTGAACAGCAAAAATAATAAAGACAATACAATGCAGTGTGCAATGAGGGAAATTTTGCCAGCCGACACTTTTTCATGTCAGCTCATACTATCGCCCAAATTGATCAAAGAGATCCGCGATTATATTCACTGAAAAAATGAGAGACATCATGAAAGCACTGGCCAGGGTAGCCCAATGAAAGAGAGAAACAACTATATTTTACAAGGATGATATCTTAGATTCACAAAGGTTCCTCTCTAACAGCTAGGCCTTGGCAAAAAACAAAGGATTTGCACACAAAAAATTCAAATATTATTTTGAAAAAACCAAAACCAATGAAATTTGCATTTTTCCACTGCCATTCAATTGGTGCCAAACGATCAAAGCAAAAAGGCATCGAACTTTATACATGAGCTCCCGATTTTCTTGTTAAATCATCTTAAATATTTCTCCATACGTACCTCGTGTAAAATATCCTCTAAATGCCGAAGATCAACTTAGAATCGTTATTTTCTTTTTAACCGCTTTCTATTCCTCACTAAGCGGAAACGACTTTAATGCGACTGCAAGACAAAACTAAACGATAAGTTAATTTACTGGTCGTTAATTTTTGGTAAATTTGTACCAAAAAGCAACAAATTTCATAACTTTATGAATGAAATTGATATAATTCAGGAAAAATGAAAATAACTCAAAATAGTTTTTAGTTTTTGCTGAATTTTGAATTCGTTTTATTTTTTCGGTTGGTTCATCAAACAAGATGGCGGCCTCCATAAACCACATGTAAACAAAAGAAAATTTCTACCAAAAACTGCCTTGAACTCCGTGATTTGGTAATTAGCAAAGGCAGAGTGTTATTGCCACTATAAAGGGACACCGTCCTCTTAATATATTTGATATTTGAAGCTCTAAATAGTAAAAAACTATCCCGGACATTTTTTTTTTTTGAGAATTTTTTTTTGACATTCGTTTCTCAAAATCTCCTACAAAAACAATTCAAGATTATTATTTTATTGAATTGTTTGAGAACCTGATGCAGGATATTGATTCTGTAAAGTGGAATGTGATACAGATAGTTGAAATTGAACTGGTAGAGCAAATATTTAGATGACTGTAGACTTGGTTGGTAGATGACAAGTTAATGTTCGCTTCCAGTTAACTGATATCACAGACTAGGTAGTTGTTGGTAGATGACAAGTTAATGTCCGCTTCCAGCTAACTGATATCACAGACTAGGTAGTTGAAGACTGTAGACTGAGGATTAATCTAAAGACAACTCGTATCACTCTAACCTGTGTCAAAAACATTGTTGGTCTGAGTCTTATAAAAAGTTGTCTGAGTTGTTTTTAAAAAGATTTATTGGTCTGTGTTATCCTGATTCCGAATTTAGAAATAATACGTAAAATTTATCGTTGAAAGTGCCACTTGAGAATGATATGAAAGGAAAAGGAACGCTGAGTTAGAACGCTGTCTTTAAACAAGATGTCTGGTCGAAGACGTCTGAAACGTAAAGAATTAGAAAGTTATTTACAAGACGTGGATGTTTTTAATCAACCGAAAGTTTTTTTAGAGCAGTATCCAACAACACCTCATATTGCAGGTAAGAAAACTTTTTGGATTTTTCTTTTATCTCAGAGGCCATTTTGGTTTGGTGCCAAGTTGACTATAACCCCATCTCAGTTCCATCCAAAAAAAAAAAAGTGATTTAGGCGCTTGCTCGCTAACCTGAAGGTCCAGGGTTCAATTCCAGCATAGGTTGAGATAATACCTTCAGATTTTTCAACCCGGTTTCTCCCTGTCAGTGAGTTAGATGCTTGCTCGCTAACCTGAAGGTCCAGGGTTCAATTCTAGCATTTTTAGATAATACCCCCCTGTCAGTGATGAAGGTAAGAGGGGCTGACATGGAAAAAGCGTCTAATCGTTTAGATGGGACAATAAACCGAGGCCCCGTGTGCTACAGGCTGTACATGTTAAAGATCCCTCGACAGTTGGAAATTGAAAAAGAGTAGGCAAATGCTGCTGGCAAATTTCCCTCATTGTACACTGCTTGGTGTTGCCTGTCTTCATTAGCCCAATTAGATGCAGACTGTACACTGTCATGGCAAAATTTCCCTTATTGCACACTGCTTGGTGTTGCCTGTCTTCATTAGCCCAATTAGATGCAGACTGTACACTGTCATGGCAAAATTTCCCTTATTGCACACTGCTTGGTGTTGCCTGTCTTCATTAGCCCAATTAGATGCAGACTGTACACTGTCATGGCAAAATTTCCCTCATTTCACACTGCTTGGTGTTGCCTGTCTTCATTAGCCCAATTAGATGCAGACTGTACACTGTCATGGCAAAATTTCCCTTATTGCACACTGCTTGGTGTTGCCTGTCTTCATTAGCCCAATTAGATGCAGACTGTACACTGTCATGGCAAAATTTCCCTTATTGCACACTGCATGGCATTTCCTGTCTTCATTAGACCAATTAGATGCAGACTATGCACTGTCATGACAAAATTTCCCTCATTTCACACTGCTTGGTGTTGCCTGTCTTCATTAGCCCAATTAGATGCAGACTGTACACTGTCATGGCAAAATTTCCCTCATTTCACACTGCTTGGTGTTGCCTGTCTTCATTAGCCCAATTAGATGTAGACTGTGCACTGTCATGACAAAATTTCCCTCATTGTACACTGTGATGATATTTGTTTGTATTACAGCGTGTATGTTACATACAATCGATGAAAATGATGATATCGAAGATAAGATTATAGGTGATCTAGGCGTAGGCTGTGGTATTTTATCTATAGGCGCGGCTATGTTAGGGGCTAGGTGAGTATACCTATTAGTTTTTGACAGTTGGGACGTCCCTTTGGCTTATGCTACCGGATTTTTCAACCTGGTTTTCCCCTGTCAGTGATATAGGTAAGAAGGGCTGACATGGAGAAAGCGTCTAGTTGTTCGGATGGGACAATAAACTGAGGCCCTGTGTACTACAGGCTGTGTACGTTAAAGATCCCTCGACAGTTGGAAATCAAAAAGAGTAGGCTAATTTCCCTCATTGCACACTGCATTGTGTTACCCGTCTTCATTAGTCCAAATTGGTTCAGACCCTGTTTTTGACTATTTTAACAAAATTTTTGCGCTGTGCACGTTAAAGATTCCTTGACAGTTGGAAATGGAAAAAGAGCAGACTAATGTTGCTGTCCTGGTAAAATTTCCCTCATTGTACACTGCATGGTGCTGCCCGTCTTCATTAGTCCACATGGTGCAGAAAAGTGATTTTTTTTTTTTTTCAGTTATGTGGTAGGTTTTGATATAGATGAAGAAGCTCTTTCTATATGTCATCAGAATTTAACAGATTTAGAAATTGAGAATTATGATTTGGTACAGATTGACATCGAAACGATGCTGGAGAATTGCGGCAAGTTTGTAAAGAAATTCGATACGGTTGTTATGAATCCACCATTTGGTACTAAACATAATGCAGGTAACTTCTTCTTATACCTTGACTACAATAGTCACTTTTCTTGTATCACCTCTTCACAATGTCAAGATATTACTAACTTCATACTTATACCTTGACTGCAATAGTCACCTTTCTTTTATCACATCTTCACAATGTCAAACTATTACAAACTTCATCTTATACCTTGACTACAATAGTCACCTTTCTTTTATCACATCTTCACAATGTCAAGATATTACTAACTTCATACTTATACCTTGACTACAACAGTCGCCTTTCTTGTAACTGTAGTGAATAATGCAATAAAACGTCTGCAATCGTAGAACTCTAAATTGGCAGGGATCGTCTAGGGCCAAGGATCAGCTGGTAGAAAGGATCCTTGTGAACCTAAGTTGTTATCCTTGTAAAATCAATACCAAGAGGTTTGACCAAGGATCAGCTGGTAGAAAGGATCCTCGTGAACCTAAGTTGTTATCCTTGTAAAATCAATACCAAGAGGTTTGGCCAAGGATCAGCTGGTAGAAAGGATCCTCGTGAACCTAAGTTGTTATCCTTGTAAAATCAATACCAAGGGGTTTGACCAAGGATCAGCTGGTAGAAAGGATCCTCGTGAACCTAAGTTGTTATCCTTGTAAAATCAATACCAAGAGGTTTGACCAAGGACCAGCTGGTAGAAAGGATACTTGTGAACCTAAGTTGTTATCCTTGTAATATCAATCCA